AGGCAACCAAAACCTTGTTTGTTTGTTTTTTAACATGAATAATGGAAGCACTGTGCATTGTACTAATGCCTTCATAACAGATACAGAAAGGAAACTGTTCAAACTTCTCCAGATGGCGGTGACATTTTTCAGCTTGATTTGGTAACACGACTGTGACCTACAGACAGCATAAATATGTGTGCCATCACATGTGTAATTTCTTACAGACCAAGTTTGGTTCTTCTCCAATGTCTCCTTTTGGAGTTGTACCTGATTTTATTACCAGTTTTCATCCGAATCCACTGGGGAATGGGACGATTTTGCTTTTGTTTCTTGGCCAGGAATCGCTTAATCCTGAAAGTCTTGTGAGAAGACATGGCGAGAAACGGAGTAATGCACACACCACGATGGCAGAGAAAGGAAGAGAGCGCTATGTTTGTTTTTATCTAAATATCAATATGTATGTATAGTCACATATGTGTTTATGAGTATATATATTTTCTTTTTTTGTTGAACTATTTGAAAGTAAGTTGTAGAGATCTTGACAGTTCAGCCCTAAATACTTCAACATGTATTTCTTAAAAATAAACACATTCTCCTATATAATAACATAATCATATCTAAGAAAATTAATAATTCTCTAATATCATCTCATATCCCATCATATTCTAATTTCCTTAGTTGACCCCAAATTGTCCTCTAAAGCTGGTTTGTTAAAAAAGATTTGATCAAGGTTTGTACTTTATATTGGTTATGTCTCTTTACTATCTTTTAATCTATTAATAGAACAGTTCTTCCAACCTTTTATTTGCCTAAGACTTTAGCTTTTTAAAGAGATCAGGCCAGTGCATAAGTCACCTTGACGGTCTTGTCAAAATATAAGTTCTGACTGAACAAGTCTGGCACAAGACCTGAGAGTCTACCTATCTGAAAAGCTTCTAACTGAAGCCACTGCTGGGGGCCCAGAGTTCTCTTTTAACAGCAAAGTTGTATAATGTCCCACACTGAATTTGTCTCTTTCTTAATGGTGCTAATTTACCTCTATCCCTTATATTTCTTAAAAATTCAGTTAATTCTAAAAGATTTTAGATACAAGCTAAACATTTTTAAAACCATTATATTTTGGAGTCTCTGTTAGAGCAGCTTAGCCTACCTATTACTCTCCTGCCTGGTGGCTAAGCAATATCGCAGTTTTCGTGGTTGCTTACTTACTTTTCAGTGATCAAGGTAATGAATCCTTCAATTCGGTACTAAATTCCAAATCTTGATTTATTCATTCCATATTTCAAAATAAGGGAGCTTTCAAGTTTACCATTAAGTCCAATAGTCATCACTACTGAAGTGAATTGCAATAAATTAAGGGCTTCAGGGTTAGGAACATGTATAAAGCCTCTGACTTCCTTGAGCACTTCATCTCTACCTTCTCCCTCCAAACTTCCTCATCTATACACCCCTACAGTTCCACCTTAAAAATCACTAATTTGGCCAGGCTCAGTGGCTCACACCTGTAATCCAAGCACTTTGGAGGCCAAGGCGGGCGGATCACCTGAGGTTGGGAGTTCAAGACCAGCCTGACCAACATGGTGAAACCCCGTCTTTATTAAAAAAAAAAAAAAAAAATCACGTATTTAAGTTTCCCCTTCTCTGATCGCAACTTCCCAGTTCTTCCAGCTTGCCTGATCGGCCACTTATATTCTCCTATAGTGTCCAGGGTGACAAGAGGCTGCATCTCAACAAGTCTCCCCACCATCCTCACAGCAGGGTAGGGTATGGAGAAGGGAAATGGCGAATGGAGAGCTGCTTCCTAAAGCTTCACCCGGAAGCCGTATCTGCTCATATTTTACAGACCAAAGCAAGTCACATGGCACATTTGACTTCAAGTAGACATGGAGAGGGGCTGCCCACGTACAAAGAATGCAACATTACATGTACCCAAAAAGAGGTGAACCAGAATACTTGTGCACAGCCTTAAGGATGACATCATCTTTCTGGCAGAATCCAATCCAAGGTGAACCCAATTAACCATTTTCTCCATGTTGGGAGAAAGTCTCATAAGAAAGCAGACTAGGTCCATTATTATTCACAATACCTTTTGATCAACTTACATACTATCCATGAAGCCATTTCAAATCTTCACTTTCCTTAAACCTCCAACTCCTCCATCTCCCCACTCACTTATCAAAAACTGATCTAGTCTTTTACTAAGGGAAAAGAGATATAAGCAGATGGCAAATTTGATCTTTCTCCCCCCAAATTTACAAACCTACCTTCATCAATTTAAATTAGATGTCCTTAAAAGAGATAGGTATAACTAACAAAGGGAAAATGGCCTATGAGAAAACTGGTTATATTTTTCCACTATGGTACAGATAAACTCTTGATAACGGTGAGCATTAACACAGATGTTAGCAAAATAATAAACAAAACCAGGCATTCGACCTACATACTGTAAGCAACCTGTGCCTTTTTTCAAAAACACTGAACACAAAACACTGTACCAAAAAAAACTTGGTAATGTAGAGGCAATTTTTGATGATTTTTCTGCCATATGTAATATGTCTAAATAGACAGACTCATTTGGTACAGTAACACGATTCAACAACCATTTGTCTATAGTTTTCCAATTTCCATTTGAGGCAAAAAGACAAAATTAAAAGTCCAATTATTAAAGCTTCTAATACTTTTTATTATCAAAATTGTGTCTCGGCACTGTAGACTAGGAAGGTGAGGGATGAGAAAGTACTTAATGAGTACAATGTACATCATTCAGGCGATGGTTACACTAAAAGCTCAGTACCACTAGGCAATACATCCTTGTAACAAAACTGTACTTACACCTCTGATTTTTACACAAATTTAAAAAACTGTGCCTGAAGATCTCTGTGACCTCCCCCACATTTGGAGCTTTGATAGGATGCACGGGACTCAACTATAGTTGTACTCAAGGCTGACATTTATTACACAATGCAGTATGGATATACAGGCTCATCATAACAGAAAAAGACACAATGGAGTCTGGAGGAATCACATGTAGGCTCCTTATGCGGCCTCTCTCCCAGGAGGGGTCAAACAAAACACACCCTTCCTCCAGCACGGAAAATGCAGCAACATGTATACAATTTTTCTGCACAGGGACGCCCATTAGAGACTTGGTATCCCAGATTTTTATAGAAGCTGGTAATTTCAGCATAAAACATACTGTTCAGCACAAACCCAAAATGTAAGTTCCCAGAAGCCAAACAGGCACCAACACTGCAACCAGTCCTTCCTAAGACAGCAGCCTGAGGCCTGTTAACTCTTTGTAGCACAAATATGTTCTGGCCATTTTTCTCATGTGGTTTTCCAAACAACAAACGTTACAGTTTCCAACTTCACCATGACTTAACACTTGTCTTTTCTCTAAAGTAGGATGTGCAACTAAGTTGTTTAGAAAGCTTTGTTTTTAAACAGGCTATGCGAAAAGCCCATATCCATAAGAAAAAAAAATTTCCTACTCTTGGGCAATTATTTATGGGGTTGGATGAGAAGAAAAGTGCACTATCTCCTTTTACATACCAAGCTCAAAAAGATGAGCAGCACTTATGGTTTTGCTGTTTATCACGCTCAGTTCTAAGTACTTCACAGATATTAATCCACTTAACCCTCACAACTACCTTAGGAGAGAGGTTGCTATTACTTTCCGCATTTTACACTTGAAACTGAGAAAGAGAGATTAAGCGACTTGCAGGGGTCCCAGAACCAGTAAGTGGTGGATGGAGATGTGGACCCAAGCAGTCCCGCTCCAGAGCTTCCAATACAAGACGCTTCCATAAAGTCCTGGTTAGACACGCTTCCTCCGGTCACCAACACACGCCCCGAGGATGTGAAGAGAAATGCACCGCGAGGAGACGTACGGAAGGGCGTGGGGCCGACGTGCGCCCTGGTCACCAGGGAACTCGTGCCCTTCCCGAGGGGCCCCTCGCCAGCCGCCGGGACCCGGAGCCAGCAGAGCTGCGCTCACACGGCCCTCGGTGACCGCCCGGCGCCCCAGGGATCTGGAAGCCGAGGGGGGCATGAAGCCTCTCTCCCAGCTTTGCCCACCCACAGGGACCAAGGTGGCCGAAACGAAGACCGAGAAACTGCGGCGACCGTACCGCCACTGCGACCACAGCGCGGCGTCCCCAACTCACCCCACCCGGCCGGGCCGCCGCGTCTACAACCAGGAGAGACCGCGCCTGCGCGCCCGTCCCGCGCCTGGCAGGGGAGGGGCCTCATCCGCCAGCCCCGAGCCGGGCCCGGGCGAGTTCCGGGCTGCGATCTCCCAGCTGGGGAACGCCGGGAGGGGTGGTAGGGCGGGGCCGGTTTGCGCGGCGCCTGCGTTGTGCCTGTCCGCAGAGCCCGGGGAGCTCTTGGTAATCTTAGAATAGCAGCCATCGACTAGCAATTTATTTAGGATCCTGGTCCAGAGTGCGCACCTCGGGTGTTGCAGCAGTCCGGCTGAAGTCTCACTTGTTGCTGGGCGCCTTCTGGAACAGCCTCCGATTTCCCTCCGTTACCCTCCTCTGAACTCAAAGTCACATCTAACATTCGTCATATATTACTGTGCTTTTTCCCCATTGCTGTTGTCTTACCTGTCCTTCTCTCTTCTCAATTAGATAGTACATTTCTTGTGATACACCTATACCTCCTCAAAGCCCGGTTATCAAAGTGGTCAGCACGTTGCATGTTTAGTAAAAGTAGTTGGTTTGAAAATACTATGTTTGAATCACGAATAGTGCAGATGTTAACACTGGTTGTAGATAGGCTCTAAAAGTCTTCTGATCATTCACAGCTCTTTAGCCAAGGGACAGATGTGGCTTTAAGGATAAGAGCATTGGCGTAGAAATCAGAAGATACGAGAGTTAATATTTTAAACTCTAAATTTTACCTTAAAAACTCTTCTAATATTATGTACATGTGGAGACCTTGGCAAAGAAGGTTGATATTTGTTTATATTGTACTTACAAGGACTGTACATTTAACAAATGTAATTGAGCACAGATATGCCAGTTGCTGTTACGGGTACAGAGGTACTCTATCATTTTGGGGGGGTAGGATAATTTTTTTACCTAGGGAAAAAGAAATATTCCTCAAATAAGAATAGGTTGAAATTGTCTACTTCATAAATCAAAAGCTTTCATGTATTTTAACGTTGGATTTGACCTAGAACTTGGAGGAACAAGAACAAGCACATTTGGGCAAATCTACATAATTTGAATCCTAATTGTGTCAATGTAAAAGAGTGTGTTAACAAATCTAAATAATTTGCATCCTAATTGTGTCACTGTAAAAAAATGTATTATATGTGGAAACCCAGTTTATGATTGATTTTTTAAAAGGGATTGAATTAGATTATGAAAATTTAAGTTCTTCATAAGAAGAAATTTAGAAATAATCAAATACCATATAATACTTAAATTTTCTTGGAAACAACAAATTTCAAAGCTGTCTTGATTTCCAGTGGCTGTACCCTTAGCATAACCAAAATCTCCAGAGATTGCAATCTTCGTTTCAAAACTTGGCATAAATTGAGGAAAATTCTCTAACACTAAATTTTTATTTCTGATGTTCCTCATTTTTTTTACTTAATTGAATGTAAAATTTACTGTTTGATGGATTATTCAAAGAAAGGAAATTATTTTTAAATGTTTTCCAGTAAGTATATTTTTAGTGCTATTACAATGACATTATAACAAAACATCAAATAAAAATATAGATTTGCTTAAGAACATCTAACTGTGTATTTCCCAAATAATGCTAAATATCTTAAATTTACCATCATGTTCTGTTTCAAAATATGTGCACTACTTTGTTGAGCTGTAGGCTATATATATTCCTCTTATATTTCTACCAAGCGTATTTTTTTCCTTTTTTTTTTTTGAGATGAAGTCTTGCTGTGTTGCCCAGGCTGGAGTGCAGTGGTGTGGTTTGGGTTCACTGCAACCTCCACCTCCTGGGTTCAAGTAGTTCTCCTGCCTCAACCTCCCTAGTAGCTGGGATAACAGTTTCCTATCACCACGCCCAGCTAATTTTTTTTTTTTTTTTTTTTTTTTTGTATTTTAGTAGAGATTGGGTTTCACCCTGTTGGTCAGGCTGGTCTCGAACTACTGACCTCAAGCAATCCATCCATCTCAGCTTCCCAAACTGCTAAGGTGACAGGCGTGAGCCACTGCACCCGACTCCTTTTTTTCAAACACCAAGTTGAACCAGATATCAAGTATATATTTTTTTTATTTTTATGTTTTTTTATTGCATTTTAGGTTTTGGGGTATATGTGAAGAACATGCAAGATTGTTGCGTAGGAACACACATGGCAGTGTGATTTGCTGCCTTCCTCCCCTTCACCTATATCTGGCATTTCTCCCCATGCTATCTCTCCCCAACTCCCCACCCTCCGCTGTCCCTCCCCTATTTCCCCCCAACAGACCCCAGTGTGTAGTGCTCCCCTCCCTGTGTCCATGTGTTCTCATTGTTCAACATCCGCCTATCAGTGAGAACATGTGGTGTTTGATTTTCTGCTCATCAAGTATATTTTTTAAGATACACTCTTTATTGTAAAAGTAATGCCTGCTAGTTCCTCATCTTCCTTTCCTTCCCATACTCCATTTCCTCTTCTCTGCTTGCTGTTTTCTTAGGTATAGTTTTAGGCACTGCCTTTGTGCATACAACATGCATTTGTGCCATGTTTTTACATGACTAGCTTTATGCTAAAAGATAACACAGCTTAGATTACAGTCTACAATCTGTTCTATGACTTGAAGTTTTCACTTAACAGTGTGTGTCAGACATATTTTCATATTAACTTCATTTTTTTTTTTTTTTTTTGACAGAGACTCACTCTGTCACCCAGGCTGGAGTGCAGTGGCACAGTCTCGGCTCACTGCAACCTCTGCCTCCTGGATTCAAGCGATTCTCCCGCCTCAGCCTCCCCAGTAGCCACTGCACCTGACTAATTTTGTATTTTTAGTAGAGACAGGGTTTCGCCATGTTGGCCAGGCTGGTCTTGAACTCCTGACCTCAGGTGATGCACCTGCCTCGGTCTCCCAAAGTGCTGGGATTACAGGCATGAGCCATGGCACCAGGCAATATTAGCCTTATTCTTTTGACCAGTTGCTACAGTCTCCTGTGAATGAATGTATCTTTTTTTCTATCAATTAGTGTACATTTGTCTTTGCTTACTAATGCAAATATTCTCGGTAAATAAACTATTCACAGTGAAAATGCTGAGTCAACAGATGCTTATTTAAAGTTTTGATAGAAATTCTTTTTTTTTTTTTTTAAAGAATCACATGAAAGGCCATACATTTCCTAATTTTTCATTTTATTAGTCTGTTACATGGGGGCTTACAGTCAATTTTAGGGCCGGGCACAGTGGCTCACGCCTGTAATCCAAGCACTTTGGAGGCCAAGGCAGGCAGATCACCTGAGGTCGGGAGTTCAAGACCAGCCTGACCAACATGGTGAAACCCCATCTTTAAAAAAAAAAAAAAAAGTCGATTTTAAAAGAAATGGATGTGAAGTGACTTCATTGGTCGAAAAGAAAAGAAAAAGAAATGAGAAAATCCCAAGTCTCTTAAAAATCGTCTTCTTTCTGTCAGGCATGGTGGCTCACACCTGTAATCCCAGCACTTTGGAAGGCTGAGGCAGGTGGATCATTTGAGGTCAGGAGTTCGAGACCAGCCTGGCCAACATGGTGAAACCCTGTCTCTACTAAAAATACAAAATTAGCCAGGTGCGGTGGCTACTGGGGAGGCTGAGGCAGGAGAATCGCTTGAACCCAGGAGCCAGAGGTTGCAGTGAGCTGAGATAGTGTCACTGCACTCCAGCCTGGGCAACAAGTAAGACTCTGCCTCAAAAAAAAAAAAAGAAGTCTTTTTTCCAATAGCCTTTCACTAACACATGAGTAACAACAAAAAATTAAATTAGCTGTTTGAGAATTAATGATTCATATAAACTCAGCACCAGTAGATCTTTCTCCGAAAAGTTAAACTATTTTTCCCCTTTTTATCCCTTTTTAGGTCTTGCTTAAGTTATTCCTTAACAATGATGGAATAGCTTAGACACAATGATCAAGATAACTAGGAACAATGATCAAGAATCTCTTTTTGACAAGATGCTTTTGCTGCAAGGACTCTTAAATAAGTTTAGCAGAGTGCTATATATGGAAGGTTATATTTAACTCCTCAGGAAAAAAAAATCCTACATAAAAATATTTTTAAAATAATAATTAGTCATGAGCCCTAAAAGAATAATTGTTTAGTAATACTTCTCCTGCAAAAGCAGAAATCAGATTAAATATGATTCACTGAGACCAAGTACATTGTTTCCCTATCTTGTGTTCATGCTACCTGTGATTTATGATGTATATTTAGATTGGGGATGCCACAGAAAATACATGAATCTACGGTATATAGTGATATCTTAGTTCAAAGCGAATCCACAAATTACACAGAGACTATGGTTAAGCTCCAAATTATTTGGACAATAATTATAAAGGATCTCATTGGTCTAGAAATCTGAAATGGTTTATAACTTATTAAATTATTGAAAACTGAATAATTTAAAAGTAAATGCTTAATGAAATTATTCCTTGGACATACACTTTAATAATGCCATTAAAACATGAATATTTTAATTTTTTTTTGAGATGGGGTCTCAGTCACTCAGGCTGATTATAGTGCACTATAGCCTTACACTCCTGAGCTCAGGTGATTCTCCTGATTTAGACTCTCTGGTAGCTGGGACTACAGGTGTGCACCGCAGTACCTGGCCAAATATTTTAATTTTTAACTGCAAACCTATTTGCAGTTAAATATAGCTTTTATTATGCTTGGGAACCAAGCTGAGAATAAATAAAAAATAAGATAATGAGAAACTTTATGTGGTAAGCTTAATAATGCCCTCCTGCCCCAAAGATGTTCATGTTCTACAAACCTGAAACTTGTGAATATGTTACCTTAACTGGCAAAAGGGATTTCAAAGATGTGATGAAATTAAGTATCTTGAGATGAGAAGATTATCGTGGATTATCTCTGTAGTCTGAATGTAGAGGTCCTTATAAAAGAGAGGCAGCAGAATCGGAGGAATAGAAGGAGATGTGATAACAGAAGCAGGAGTCAGAATCTGGGATCCGAAAGCTCAAAGCTGTAGGCTTCGAAGATGGAGAAGGAGACCACCATAGCCAAGGAATGCAGTCAACCACTGCAAGACAGAGAAGTCAAGACATTCTCTGGAGCTCAGAAGGAACACAGGCTTGCTGACACCTTGATTTTAGCCAAGTGAGATTTCTAATCTACACAATTGTAGATAATAAACTTGTGTTGTTTTAAGCCAGTGAATTTGGGGTAATTTGTTACAGTAGCAATAGGAAACTGATGCATATTATACAATACTTGGACATAACCCTGACAAAGCTGTAGTCAAATATCATCAATTTGTGGAGGAAAGATGACAGTATGACATTATTTTAATGCCTACATCAGTTGAACCAGCTATGAGAGTTAAGAACAATTCTTAGAAAAGCATTCCATGTAGTCTGTTTTAAACAAATCCAATGTATGAAAATCACGTTATAAGGTAAATTGGAAAAGTTTACTTACTTTAAATCTTCAATCTGTCACATTTTATGCTTTCTATTTTTAAACTTTATGCCTCTTGAAAAATAATAATTTTTTAAAAAAGTAAGCATAACCCTTAGTTTCTTTCCAAATGCCTTTACGTTTTAAAGCAGTAATTACACCTTGCGGCATTACCCGGTTCAGCCGGCGCCTGGCTGGAGGGCGCCCGAGAGCCCGGAGCAGCGCGCCTGGAGGGCGGAGCAGGAGCGGGAGGAGTAGGAGGAAGTGGTCAGCAGCGCGGCGGGCGCCAGGCAATGGTGCTGCCCTGGTTGCTGCTTGGGACTGCGCGCAGGGCGGTCCTCGGGTCAGTGGAGGCTGCGCTCTGCGGTGAGCTTGGTGGTCCCTGGGAAAAGGGAGAGCGCCTAACCTTGGACTTCAGGCAAGGGTTAACGTTGGTGGGGGAGCCATCAATCTTGGCATCTGGGGATATAACCCCCACTTGCAGGTCTTGTTCCTTCAGATCTCGGGCGCTGGGGAACCTGGGGGCGCCCTGGGGACGCGAGGGCCGAGGTAAACATTGCTTCAGCGAACTCGTGTGGGAGGGCGTTTATATTGGTAATGGTGCTTGACTGAGCAATGAGTAAAGGTCAATTTGCGACTCAGAGGAGCGAGCAAGATGGTCAGTCTCTGCCCGCGAGAGTCGTAATGCCGATCCCAGCCATGAGAGTTACATTTGTGACCTGCTAGAGAGCAGCGCTTAGCGCTTCATGAAACAGCCACCTAGAACTATAACGTGTTAAAGCTGTTAAAAGTACCACCGCTCATTTTACCGCTAAGCCAGCAGAAGCCAGAGAAGTGAAGGTGGTTACCGGAGGCGTTGGGTCTAGAACTAAAAGCAGGCCTCCAGGCCCTTCTTTTCGCTTTGAATGCTGCCTCTCCTCCAGCACCAAATTTATCTGTGGATGCTGCTACAGGGAGCCAGCATTAACACAGCTTCCCCGCTGCCCCACCTACTATTCTATTTTAGCTGTTGGTAAGTCCTCTGTAGTTTAAATTGTGCTTTTCTATGCAAATTTTTGGTTTTTCTTTTCTCCTTTTTTTCCCCCCTTAAGAAACAGAGTCTGGCTCAGTCTCCCCGGCTGGAATGCAGTGCTGTAATCACAGCTCACTGCAGCTTGGAACTACTTGGCTCAAGCGATCCTCCTACCTCAGCTTGCAAGTAGCCAGGACTACAGGTGGAGGCCATAAGGCCCAGCTGATTTTGTTTTGTTTTGTTTTTGTAGAGATAGGGTTTTAGGTATGTTTCTCAGGCTGGTCTCAAACTCCTGGCCTCAACTGATCCTCCTGCCTCGGCCTCCCACAGTGTTGGAATTACAGGTGTGAACTACTGCTCCTGGCTGCAAATTGTTTTCTTTCACTTTTATTCAAGAACCATTTGGTGGGTGTGGTGGCTCTTGCCTATAATCCTAGCACTTTGGGAAGCTGCGCTTTTTGAGTTCAGAAGTTCAAGACCAGCCAGGCCAACATGGCAAAACCCCATCTCTACAAAAAAATTAGCTGCGCCTGGTGGCACACAATTGTAGTCCCAGCTACTTGGGGGTGAGGCAGAAGGATCACTTGAGCCCAGGAGGTTGAGGCTGCAGTGAGCTGAGATCATATCACTGCACTCTAGCCCAGGTGACAAAGTGAGACCCTGTCTTAAAAAGATAAAAGAATCATTTATTGAGCTCTGGGACTGGTATGGTGGCTCACACCTATAATCTCAGCACTTTGGAGGCCAAGGCAGGAGGACTGCGAGATCCATGGGCAGTGTGTATAAATCACGAAGGAAAGGCATAAATAGATATTGATTGGTTGCACTGTATATGCATTTACCTTACTTAAATCTCATAGGTTTAAATGATAATATTACTATTTTACAAATAAGAAACTAAGTACTAAAAAGTTTAAGTAATTTCTCCAAGGTTATAGAGATAAGTGGGTAAGCCACAATGTGAATCTAGGTTTATCTGACTCTAAAATCCCTCCTCTTTCCATTATAAAACTATTTAGAGCACACATATACTTTTGATGTAGCTGGAGGGTAGGGAAATTGGGGCCTAAGAGGAGGAACTGGGGGAGGAGTGGGTTTGGTAAGGGGTCGTTGAAAGGCATTAAGGAACATACTAAGGTGCTTGGATTCTATCCTGTGATGTAATGCTGCAGTGACTATCCAGGTGAGGCTAGGTTTACTAATGTGGAAACCGAAAAACTGGAGGTTCTTCAAAGATTAGGCCGAAAAGGTGAAAATCAGGTGCAGTCTATATTACTCTTGAAAATCCCTCTAGAGAACCACACATTATATCTCAGTAAATCCCAAATAGCCAGTTTTTCTTCAATATAGGAACAGATTAGTGTTTCTTTGAGCACAAGATCAAGTGGAGGACATACTGTACATAAAAACACACACTATTAGCTTTAAATAATTAATATAGAATAGAGGCTCATGTCTATGAGAGGCTTAGGGGAGCTGAGACTCATCAAGGAAATGGGCTTACTTCAGGCTTTGCTCACTGAGTGGAAAAGCAAGAAATCTAGTGTTCACTGGTTATTCTCCCATGCTCCACCTCCCAACAGGACTATAATTGAATTACAGAAAGTTAAATATACGTTAGATGACTCTACAAGAAAAACATAAGTATCTTTTATCCAGTTAAAGATGTTACTTGCTGTGATTATCTTTCACAGTGGCTAAGAGTCAGAATCTTGAGTTTACATAAATGATAAAATTACCATGGTTTTCCAGTTCCTAACAATGAGAAGCAGTAATGAGCATTAATTCAGCCTGTTGGCCCTTTATCTTCTGGGAATTCCCAAAACAGCTAGCTAGATGAGAAATAGTATGATTCCAGGTTAAGATCTAATCTTGTAGACACAATGAATTTCTAGTGTTCAAATCTGAAGGGGATGAGGAAACCTATATTTTTATTTTTAAATTTTGTTTATTGTGATAAAATTTGTGTATTTGTGATTTTAACTATTTTGAATGTACAATTCAATAGCATTAATTACATTCAGTGTTGTGCAACCATCAGCACTTTTTATTTCAGTACAAAAATTTTCATCACCCCAAACAGAAACTCCCCATTCCTCCTCCCTCCAACTCCTGACAACCTCTAACCTACTTTCTGTCTCTATGAATTTGCCTCTTCTAAACATTTCATATAAATGGAATCATACACTGTTTGTCCTTTTGTTTCTGTCGTATTTCACTCAGTATGTTTTCAAGGTGCATCCATATTGTAGCATGTGTCAGTGCTTCATTCATTTTTATGGCCAACTAATATTCCATTGTATGTATACATCATATTTTATTTATCTATGAATCTGTTGATGAACACTGTGGTTGCTTCTACCTTTTGGTTATTGTGAGTAAATGTTAATATGAGCATTAGTGTACAAGTATCTGTTTAAGCCCATTTTCATTTGAGCATATACATAGGAGTGGAATAGCTGGAAACCTGTTCGTTTAAAGCTTTATAGGTATTTGTCCATTTTTATGTTATTTTGCTATCCGTGAAAATGACAGATGAAAATAGATAAGTGTGGCTGGTCCGAAGGTAGTGAGTGAGTGGTCTCAATTGACTGTCCAGTCACAGATTGAACTTGTTCTACTCTTTTCCCCCTTCACACTACTGCCCTTGACTAGTCTAAAAAAAAAAAAAGAAAGAAAATAGATGCGTGTCTGTTTTTTATAAGAAGATATGCTTTTTTTGCAACTTACTTTTGGCTTTTCTTAATGCACTTAATACATAGAACTACTGGAAATTTCTTTTGGCCTATGAGCTCTGCAAGAAATTACCAAGGCATTAAGAGCATTGTAAACCCAGAAAGTTTCGGAACCTTAGGTTTATACACAATGTTCAACAACTAGTTTTTTAAACTCAATATTGTTTTGGATAATTTACATTAAATAATGCATATCCCATTGTGTAAATGTACCACATATAATAATAACAATTGCCTTATTGATGAACTTCCAGGTTATTGTAGTTTTCCAATGTTACAAAGAATGCCACCTGTGAGCATAATTATACATATATACATCAGTATTAACTCATACTAAGATTCCTGTAGGATAGATTCCTAAAATTGTTAGGTAAAAAGGATATGCATACTTAAAATGTTATTACAGCTAAATTTCCCTTCAAAAGTTTGTAACATTATACACTACCAATAATGTATGAAAGTACACATTTCCTCATTCCCTCACCAATATTTGATATTATAAATTCTTTCAATTTTTACAAACCTGACAAAATAACAAAATTTTGTTTATATGTTGTATTTCCTTAATTAGTAGTGAGATCGGGCACCTTCTCACATTTTATTGGCTATTTATATTTCTCGTGTCAATTTTGTGTTCATATAGTTTGACCATTTTTCTGAGTTTTTTCCTTTTTCCTAGTTATTTGTATAAACTCTATTTTATTAACACTAATCTTTTTTTTTCTATGTTACAAGTATTTTCTTCCTGCCTGTCACTTGTATTCAAAGTGTTCATTGTTCTTTTTCCATATATCAATTTAGCATTTTTGTGAGATCAAACCTTTAGGATTTCTGATTTTTGTCATGTTTAGAATGGCCTTCCTGTCCTAAGACTTAAATTATCCACTCATGTTTTCTATGAGTACTTTTAAGATATTAGACTTTAGGTTTATATTTGGAATTTATTTAAGCATAAGGAGTGAGGTAACAGCCTGCTTCATGTTTTCTCCTACTTAGTTGGCCTGTTTATTGACTATCATTTCCTTACTAATTTGAAATGTCACTGTTAGCAGATAATGAATTATCATATAAAGTATACTGTAAGTCTCTTTTCTGGACTTAAGACTTTTAAACCTTTTCTTTTGCCAGTTCTACACTACTTAAATCAATTTTACTACATTTAATACTTTAAACAAAATTTGAAGCATAACTGTATCATTTACTTTTTTTTTTTCCTGAGACAAAGTTTCATTCTGTCACTTAGGCTGGAGGGCAGTGGTGCCATCACAGCCTCACTGCAGCCTCCACCTCGTGGGCTCAAATGATTGTCCTGCCTCAGTTTCCCTAGTAACTGGGACAACAGGCATGTGCCATCACATCTGGCTAATTTTTAAAAAAACTTAGTAGAGATGGAGTCTGACTGTGTTGCCCAGGCTGTCTCTAACTCCTGGACTCAAGTGATCCTCTCACCTCAGCCTCCCAATATGTTGGGATTATAGGTGTAAGCCACTATGCCTGGCCTTATTTTCCGTTTTTTTTTTTTTTTTTTTTTCAAGACAGAGTCTTGCTCTGTCACCAGGCTGGAGTGCAATGGGGTGATCTCAGCTCACTGCAACCTCCACCTCCCAGGTTCAAGTGATTCTCCTGCCTCAGCCTCCCGAGTAGCTGGGATTACAGGTGCCTGCCACCACACCTGGCTAATGTTTGTATTTTTAGTAGAGATGGGGTTTCACCATGTTGGCCAGCATGGTCTTGAACTCCTGACCTTGTAATCCGTCTGCCTCAGCCTTCCAAAGTGCTGGGATTACAGGTATAAGCCACCGCGTCCAGCCATTTTCCTTTCTCATAGTAGTCATTTTGTTGTGAAATATGAACATTATTACTTCTTTTGCTATTTCATTTTAAAAATCTTTTGGATATTCTTTTTAAAAAAATAACTTTACACCTGTAGAAAAGTTGCAAAAGTAAGTTTCCTTTATTCTTGCCAACTTCATGTAGTATATAAACATCTTATATAGTGTAATTATTGAAATCAGGAAATTAATATTGCTATAATACTATTAACTAATCTGCAGACTTTATCTTTCTTGACATGGACACTTTTAAAGAGAATACTAGTTATTTTGTAGATTTTTTTGTCTGAGGTTTTCTTCTAATTAGATTCAGGAAATTATTTCTTTTTGCAATACTAAGGAAGTGATATTGTGCTCAGGGCCTCATATCAGGAGGCACATATTGTCAACATGTCTTATTACTAGTGAAGTTATCTTTGAATAAATGGTTAAAGTGGTATCTTTCAGGCTTCTCCCTCTGTAATTAGTAAGTATCTCATGGGAAGATATTACCTCATTTGTCATCACACTTTCACCTCTAGATCTATATCTGTCAATGGTTCTTACCTAGGGTGTTTGCTTAATGATTTTCTGTTCCCATCATTCCTTCTACATTTACCAGTTGGAAAGCCCATATAAGGAAGATAATCCCTTTTCCCCATTTATTTATTCTATTTATTTTATGGGTTATTATCCAATACCATATTATGTTACAATTACAGCTAGCACTCTGCATCTGCGGGTTCAGCATCAAAGGATTCAGTCAACTAGAGAGAAAATATTCGGTAATAAAAACCCAAAATAACAATACAACAACAACAACAATAACAAAAACAAAATACAGTATGACAACTATTTACATAGCATTTACAGTATACTAAGGATTTTAAGTAAGCCAGATGATTTAAAGTACACGGGAGATGTGCATAAGTTATATGCAAATACTATGCCATTTTATATAAGAGACTTTAGCATCCACAGACTTTGGTATACAAGGGAGTACTGGAACCAATCCCCTTCAGATATCAAAAGGCGACTATATTTAAGAGATAGAAACAGTGCCAGGCTGGGTATAGTGGCTCATGCCTGTAATCCCAGCACTCTGGGAGGCCAAAGTGGGCGAATCACAAGGTCAAGAGATTGAGACCATCCTGGCCAACATGGTGAAACCTAGTCTCTACTTAAAATACAAAAATTGGCTGATCATGGTGGTGAGCGCCTGTAGTCTCAGCTGCTTGGGAGACTGAGGCAGAAGAATTGCTTGAACCCAGGAGGCAGAGATTGCAGTGAGCTGAGATTGCGCCACTGCACTCCAGCCTGGAGACAGAGACTTTGTCAAAAAAAAAAAAAAAAAGAAAAAAAGAAACAGTGCCATTAAGTACTTACAAGTGTAGTATAAAATGTAAGGTCCCTACATGTAATGTATGGCTTAATATCTTTGCTTGCAAGGGGAAATGAAATTAAAATTTTCTTAATATTGTAACTTGGATTAAGATTTACAAATTATTTCTGTAATTCAGTTACCAGATGCTGAATGTATGTTTACAAGTTCCCACCAATTAAGGGGCTTGGAAAGAGTACAATATGAAACTGACACAAGGCCAATATCAAATATTTAGGGTAGCACAGGCTGCATCCTGATGCTTAGAGTCAGGATACATGCATACATAGAAAAACTCCTTTCTCTTTTCTTTTTTCTTTCTTTCTTTCTTTATTTATTTTATTTTTTTTTTTTGAGAGTTTCGCTCTTGTTGCCCAGGCTGGAGTGCATTGTGCAATCTTGGCTCACTGCAACCTCTGCCTCCTGGGTTCAAGAGATTCTTTTGCCTCAGCTTCCCAAGTAGCTGGGATTACAGATGCCCACCACCACGCCCGACCAATTTTTGTATTTTTAGTAGAGATGGGGTTTCATCATGTTGGTCAGGCTAATCTTAAACTCCTGACATCAGGCGACCCACCCACTTCTGCCTCTCAAAGTGCTGGATTACAGGTGTGAGCCACCATGCCTGGCCTTCTTCTTTTTTTTTTGAGGCAGGTTCTCACTGTGCCCTCCAGGTTGGAGTGCAGTTGGTGTGATCTCGGCTCACTGCAACCCCACCTCTCAGGCTCAAGAGATCCTCCCACTTTGGCCTCACAAAGTGCTGGGATTACAGGCATGAGCCACCATGCTTGGCTGAAAATTTATTTTCTATAATCTTGCAACACTTTTGACATCAGATATGTGAGTTTTCCAAAACCATGCAATTTTCCAATTCTCTGTGGACACTAACTGGATGTTCTAAAGTTTTACTTTGAACTAACTACCCAAAGTTAGCACAGACCCGACAGGCTAAGGGCTCAGTCCCACAAGACTGTCCCTACCTCAGATGCCCGTCACAAGTCCAGGTTTCCCACACTTCTGACCAAGTAGCTGTAAATTGGGGGTTCCCTTGACCCCCTCCTTGGGTTTGATACTTTGCTAGAACTGCTCAAAGAAGTCAGAGAAATACATTTATTGGTTTACTTTAAAGAATATAATAAGGCCGGGCGTGGTGGCTCACGCCTGTAATCCCAGCACTTTGGGAGGCTGAGGCGGGTGGATCACAAGGTCAAGAGATCGAGACCATCCTGGTCAACATGGTGAAACCCCGTCTCTACTAAAACTACAAAAAATTAGCTGGGCATGGTGGCGTGCACCTGTAATCCCAGCTACTCAGGAGGCTGAGGCAGGAGAATTGTCTGAACCCAGGAGGCGGAGGTTGCAGTGAGCCGAGATCGCGCCATTGCACTCCAGCCTGGGTAACAAGAGCGAAACTCCGTCTAAAAAAAAAAATAAATAAAGAATATAATAAAAAATACAGATAAACAGCCAGATGAAGAGGTACATAGTGGGAAGTCTGGAAGGGTCCCATGCACAGGAGCTTCTGTCCCCATGGAGTTGGAGTGTGCTATCCTTGCAGCACTTGCATGTGTTCACCAACCAGAAGCTCTCTGAATCCCATAGTTTAGAGATATTTATGGAAATTTCATCATGTAATCATCAGTTATTAACTCAGTCTCCAGCCACTCTTACCTCCTAGAGGATGAGAATGGGGCTGAGTTCCAAGCTTCTAATTATAGTTGGGTCTTTCTGGTGACCAGCCCCCATCCTGAAGCTGTCCAGGAGCCCACCAAGAGCCACTTCATTAGAATGAAAGAATCTCCTATTACCCAGGACTTCCAAGGGATTTGGGAGCTCTGTGTCAGGAAGTGGAGTAAAAGACCAAATACATTAAAACAAAACATGCTCCTAGCACCAGCCCCCTGCCCCCATCACTCAGGAAATTATAAGGGTTTTAGGAGCTCTTGTATCAGGAACCAGGAGCAGAGACCAAATATATATTTATTATGTCATTATACAAAATACATAGAATACATAGTTTATTAAAGTAAAAAAAATTATTAACTGGAGCTGGGGGGAAATTCTTTTAATCTATTCTTTCCAGCTATTAATAGTGATATTGAAATTGCCTAAATTTTATTTTTTTCAGGTTTAAAGTCAATAAAGGGAAACCACCACAATTTTTATACTGCTATTTCTAAAGATGTCACTTATAAAGAACTTAAAAACCTGCTGAATTCTAAAAATATTATGTTAATTGATGTTAGAGAGGCATGGGAAATTCTGGAGTATGGAAAAATCCCTGGGTCTATCAACATACCATGTAAGTGACATGTGTCTTAAGTTGATTTATTAAAAAACATATAATTTACTATATCTAAAATCTAATTGAAATTCTTAACATTTTCTTTCAGTGGATGAGGTAGGTGAGGCTCTACAGATGAACCCAAGAGACTTCAAAGAGAAGTACAATGAAGTAAAGCCATCCAAATCTGACAACCTAGTATTTTCTTGTTTAGCTGGAGTGAGAAGCAAGAAGGCTCTGGACACAGCAATATCTCTGGGCTTTCACAGGTGTGTAGATGAAGGAAAAAATAGGTTCATAAATGTGTAATGCAATGTTTCATATATATTACATTTTCATATGTCTATTTAAGAATTTCTTGTAATTACTGTCAGTAAAGGCAGGATAGCAAAACTAAGAGCCTCTTTTCATCTAACTCAAAAGCAACACAATTTTTAAAATAGGTGTGGAGTCTGAATGGTATGGTGAATAGCCATTGAATTATTTATCTCTAAATTTCCTATCAGTCTTCTGTTATAAAGTACAGAAGCAGCTGAGCGTGATAGCTGACGCCTGTAATCCCAGCACTTTGGGAGGCCGAGGCAGGAGGATCACAAGGTCAGATCGAGACCATCCTGGCCAACATGGTGAAACCCAGTCTCTACTAAAAATACAAAAATTAGCTGGGCATGGTGGTGCATGCCTGTAGTTCCAGCTACTTGGAAGGCTGAGGCAGGAGAATCGCTTGAACTGGGAGGCAGAGGTTGCAGTGAGCCGAGATCACGCTACTGCACTCCAGCCTGGCAACAGAGCAAGACTCCATCTCAAAAAAAAAAAAAAAAAGTTTATAGCACTAACTATTTGATGTATGTTTTCAGTGCTCAACACTATGCCGGCGGATGGAAAGAATGGGTAACCTATGAATTTTCAGAGAAGAAACAAGGAAATTGAATTTTTGGAATACAAGTTGGCTCTTTCCTTGTGTACATGCAGCCAAGGATAGTGGAATGAGCAAGATAATAAAAATCTAGTCCTGGCACCGCTAGTTATGGTAAGGGGATTTTTGTATAAATCAATTAGTTGTTGAATCATTTTCTCATCTGTAAATTGAAAATGCCGTTCTCCCCTGAGATAATGCATGTTACTTGCCATGGAAATATAAGGATTGGTATTATAGGAATTAATTTTAAGTAGCTTAGTATTATTCAGTAGTATTCTAAAAGACCAGATTACTTACATTATCTAATCATGTATGACATTTGTGTTAGTATTCCTTCTATTCTGAGAGGCTATGAACTAGACGTGCAGATTAACACGCAGGTGTGACCTTAAAAAATCAATTAACCTATCCAGAGAAGTTGGTGAAATTTGAACAAGAAAAATACATTAATGGTTTCTAAAGACTTATAGCAGTGTTAGGACCAGCATGGTAGTGATGAACTTTGCACTTTAAAAAACTAAAATTAATATGATTAATATGGGGATAAATAATCAGAACAGTGGTTGCTGTTCTAGAGGGAAGAAGATTAAATGGAAGTGGCAAGGAGGAGCCAGTCGTGGTGGTTCAGGCCTGTAGTCCCAGCACTTTGTGATGCTGAGGCAGGCGGATTGCTTGAGCTCAGAAGTTCGAGACCAGCCTGGGCAACATGGCAAACCCAGTCTCTACAAAAAACCCACAAAAAATTAGCCAGGTATGGTGGCATGTGCCTGTAGTCCAAGCTACTTGGGAGCTAAGGTGAGATAATCACTTGAGCACTGGAAGATCACTTAGTTCCAGCTACCTGGGGACTAAGGCAGGAGGATCACTGGAGCGCTGGAAGATCACGCCACTGCACTCCAGGCTGGGTGACAGAGTGAGACCCAGTCTCAGAACAACAACAACAACAAAGTTGAGAGAAAAAATAAAGGCAAGAAGAGAACTTTCTAGGGTGATGGAAATGTTCTGTCTTGACTGATGTACTGATACTTCAATCAAGGTATAGGCATATACATTTGTCAAAACACATTGAACACTTAAAAATGTACATATTCGGCCGGGCACGGTGGCTTACGCCTGTAATCCCAGCACTTTGGGAGGCCGAGGCGGGTGGATCACGAGGTCAAGAGATCGAGACCATCCTGGTCAACATGGTGAAACCCCGTCTCTACTAAAACTACAAAAAATTAGCTGGGCATGGTGGCGCGCGCCTGTAATCCCAGCTACTCAGGAGGCTGAGGCAGGAGAATTGCCTGAACCCAGGAGGCGGAGGTTGCAGTGAGCCGAGATCGTGCCATTGCACTCCAGCCTGGGTAACGAGCGAAACTCTGTCTCAAAAAAAAAAAAAAAAAAAAAGTACATATTCAATGAGTGATTGTACCTCAGTTTGTTTAAAAATAATGAAAACAGAAATGCCTAAATGTAAATGACTCCCACTAGCATGGGTATATATATTCCTTTGGAATGTTAAGTCCTACACTTATTAGTGTGCTAATGCACTGGTGGCAGAAAAAACCTACTTTGTCTTGCCTGCGCCTCTTTAGACCCATGTATCTTTAGACTCACTTATGCAGTCATTCTTGTAGTAACTGTAAGGAGTTGTTTTTTCCTAAATGAGATCGAAGGCCATTGAAGAATCTGGGGTGGGATGCAATCTGATCACCTTGAACTTCTATTTCTGACAATGTCAGAAATATATTTGTGTGTGTGTGTGTGTGTGTGTGTATGATTTGTTTGAAGGCATTAATTACTGAGGCAGCAAAGATCTGAAGAGCCATAATCTTAGGAAGAAGGAAAGTTGTAGATGATGAATCAACATTGAAGTACTGGGCCCATCAAGGAATAGGATTCTGGGTAAATACATCAGGCTTTTAGTCAGAATTCCTGAAAGGCTATGCCCTAGAAGTAAAGGTGAACCAGAAATTCATAACCCCCACAAGAACTCAAAACAAGCTTTGAATTGACTAAATCCCTGAATGAATTAAGGCGATTTTCCTAGTATCTTAAGGGCCTACCAGAAGTAAATCCTCGCTGGAGAAACATATCATTAGCTAGAGGAGAGGTTGCCAATAATAAATCTTTTAGTCTTGTGGCCACTTAGTTTCTGTTGCAACTGCTCAACTCAGCTGTTGTAGCACAAAAGCAGCCACAGACAATACATAAAGGAATGTGACTATTCCAGTAACTTTACTTACACCACTTAGGTTTGAATTTTATGTTTCATGTGTTGCCAAATATTATTCTTCATTTGATTATTTTTTAATCATTTGAACATACAGCAAACATTCTTAGCCTAAAGCCAGGCAAAAATAGGTAGCTGGTCAGATTTGGTCCATGGGGCATAGCATGTAGACCCCTGAGCTGGAGCCACAAATTACCCATACAGTTTTTCACACAAAATTTCAGTATTCTATCAAAAACTACTAGGCACAGCTGTCAGTAGGACCTTATGATTGAGAAATAACAGGGAAAAACAAGACAAATGGATCCACAGAAGATCTCAGAGTTTCCAGACAGACTTTAAAATAACTGTGATTAAATATAGTCAGTAACTTAGATGACAAAATGAAAATACAGTAACTGAACTTAAACACCCAATAGAAGGTAGACAAAGCAGATCAAACACACCTGATGACAGGATTAGTGAAAATGGAAAAAATCAGAGGTACATGTATTAACATGGATGACTCTTACAATGTTGAGGGAAAAAAGCAAATTACAGAAACATACTGTATAGTTTGCTTTTTGTTTTTTGTTTTTGAGACAAGGTCTTCACTGTTAGCCAGGTTGAAATGCAGTGGCAAGAGCATAGCTCATTGCAACCTATACCTCCTGGGCGAAGCAATCCTCCTACCTCAGCCTCCAGAGTAGCTGGGACTATAGGTGTGCACCATCACATCATGCCTGGGTAATTTTTTCACTTTCTGTAGAGACAGGGTACTACAGTACTTCTTGTCTGTGCCTCTTTAGACCCATGTATTTTTAGATTCATTCATGCAGTCACTATGTTGCCCAGGTTGGTCTCAAACTCCTGTCCTCCACTGATCCTACTACTTCTGCCTCCCAAAGCACTGAGATTACAGGTATGAGCCACCATGCCTAGCCAGTATAGTCATATATATATATATATTTTATTGTGTTTTAGGCACCAGTATAGTTTTTTAACATACAGAATATTATTATTATTTAGGCTGTAGACATATATAGTTTAAGTATAAATAAATTACAAAAATAATATCCAATCCTGAATGGTTTCTACTGGGGGAAGGGAGAGGGACACAATAGGCTTTAACAGTACTGTTGACAATTTTACTTAATATGTTTGGTAGATAAGCACTTATTTTTGTCTTCTGTATGTATGGGACAAGAACTGTTATCCCCACTTGGCTACATTTGAACAAGACTGTACAATTATACCTTTGGACTCCTGGTACTCTTTTTAAGGAAAAAAACTGATAATGTATTCAATTTCAACCAGATAAACAAAGGGTTAATAAATTAGAATAATGTATCTTCTATATTAGATCAAACTTATAAAGACAATTTTAGTTGTCAGTTATTCTGATATATTTAACAAATTGTGTGTGTATGTGTGTGTGTGTGTATTTTTTTTGAGACAGGGAGATAAGCAGACAGCGTCTCAATCTTTCACCCAGGCTGGAGTGCAGTGGAGGGATCTCCGCTCACTGCAATGACTGCTTCTGGACACATTATATTTTTTAAACTGCACTGACTTAAGAAATTTTTTTTTTTTTTGAGTCACGGTCTCATTCTGTCACCTGGCTGGAGTGCAGTGGCATGATTACAGCTCACTGCAGCTTGACCCCTGGGGTGACTCACATGATTCTCCTGCCTCAGCCTCCTGAGTAACTAGGACAACAGGCACACACCACCACACCCAGGTAATTTTTCTGTTTTTTGTAGAAGTAGGGTTTCACCATGTTGCCCAGGCTGGTCTCAAACTCCTGGGTTCAAGCAGTCACCCTGTTTTAGCCTCCCAAGGGTTGGGACTACAGGTGTGAGCCACAGCACCTGGCCTTATGCAACAAAACTCTTATGAGTAAAACCAATATTAAAGTCTGTAGTATCAGAGACCTCAAAATGTGAATATATAAGCATATGATTAATACATCGTTTAATAAATGTCTGTTCATTTCAATAATGGGAGAATATCACTTTTACTTGAATAATACAAGGGCAGATCAAAAGTTTTAGATATGTATGAGAAAAGCCAGATTACATTTTTAAATGCTGTATGTACTCTACATCACTTTCATAATGGAATAGAGGGAAGATGTCCTTTAGCAATAGTGGATAGCCTCAGAGTTACGAATTAAAGTATCTCAGATTTCTTTCATTCACATCATCTTTTTTCCCTGCTTATGATCTCAGTGGGGTTTCCTGGATTCTGTGATAATATGCCCTTTTGCCATCTAGTATGTATATGCCATAGAAATACTGGATATTAGCTGGGTGTGGTGGCGGGCGCCTGTAATTCCAGCTACCCTGGGGGCTGAGGAAGGGAATTCCTTGAACCTGGGAGGCAGAGGTTGCAGTAAGCTGAGATCGTGCCACTGTACTCCAGCCATGGTGACAGAGCAAGACTCCGTCTCAAAAAGAAAAAAATACTGGATAGAAGTAAGATTAGCAGCTAATCTATGAGAAATTTTATATGACTAGACACAAAAAAATTGAATGCTTATTCTACCATCCAGTAAAAAATACTTTTCAGTACCCCCAAAATAGCACTTTATTAATGAAAAAATATAATTTTATCACCACCACTTTTTAATGCTACAAGGTTCTCTAGGAGCAGAGGATAAGAAGAAAAAAAGAGAAATTTTAATAAGGTATTATTATAGTGGCAGAATGTGGTTGAAGTAAATTTAAATAAGGATAATAACAGTTCTTCACAGTAAAGTTGTGAAGACTAAATCAGATAATACATGTCAGAAATTTAATACTTTGCTGCTATTATTACTGTGTGAATATGTACAATATGTTACCTGTTTGTAGGCAGCTGATATTGTGTTACTGTTTGCATTAATTTAATGGATAAAGATGGCAGG